AAAGTTGTAGAAGGGAGGAAAAATCTGTTGTTTGCTCTGTGTGATGTAGAGGAGAAAGGGTCTCCTCACAGATCCTCTGCCTTCCTGGTACGTACAGGCCCCTTATGTTAAACTCGGCTGTAAAACTTAGGGTCTTATGGATGCCAACAGTATAATGAAGCTCAAAAGTTCATTCAAGTAAAAGAAGAAGAATCCATTAAACACAGAGATATTTCTATAACGTCTGGTTCTGAGTCTTTAAGATTGCTGGTAGCTGGAAGACTAGACTTCAGAAAGGGAGCATTTACTTTCCTCATCCTTTTACTATTCACCACACATTCAGTTGTAGCCGTGTTTAGATGCACTTTTGGACTGACATTATAAGGCTGTTCTTAGCCCACTTGAAAAAAAAATAATAATCTAAATTAGCAGGTAAAGTTCCTGATATCTCCTGCTTGGAGATGGGTTGTACGTATGTATATTACAGCATGAATTTGCTGATCTTTGAGGCTATGTGATTTATAGAGTATATGAAGAGGTAATAAAAAGAATGGGTTCCTTGCCTTGCAGCTCAGAGAACAGGATGGATCTAGTGACTCCTGAACAGGCTAAAGGGTGGATCCATGTAGGAAAGGTCCTTTTGTGTTTAGACATGGAGAAGATGCTGAGCTGTATAATATTAGAGGTGTAGTTTTAAATTTTTTTTAGTATTTACGGTGTGTCTCGCTTTCTTGCAATATGGGGGGGAACCACCCTGTGATAGGGCAAAGTGGAAGGCATCTCTAATTGAAAACCTTGTTAGGATTTATAAGATGTTCATGAATAGAAAGTGTGATTGGTATCAAGTCAGGGAACTAAGAAATAATATTTGTGTGATTTTTCTTGTCTCCCCAAACCCACTTAGAGTTTTGCTGTCTTGTAAAATGGCCTCTGCTGGCAAAAACTGTGCTGCGCTGTGAAACCACAGCGCCTGCTGACAGATGCCATTTTGCATAAAAGTGGCTCTCTGACTTGGAAAGGATCTAAACCAAGCTTGGCAAGTGGTATTTGCTACCATGCTGTTTGTGGTGTGGAATATTCTGTGTAGAGTGTTTTGCATTGTCCTGGTTTCTCAAGAAGTGTCTGCTATTTTTCTTTTTTCATTCTTTTTTTAAATACAGAAATCAAAATGTATAAAGGCATTAAGACCAAGTCTTTAAATGTGTAAGTCGAGAGGATTGCCATTAAAATCCCTCTGCAATGTGAACTTGTTCACATTTTACGTGTTGTCTTTTATTAAGCTATAACTTTTTAATTGTAGTCTGCCTGAATTAACTTTCCTCTGAGAAACTGAATGTCAGAGACAACATTTGTTTCACTTCTTGGTTTATGATTGTGTAGTCTGTTTTGCTTGCCTTTTGAAAATAGTACCCTTAAGCTCTTTGATTTAATTCTATTGCCACTGAAATACATGTGAGTAGAATTAAGGTATGCGGAGTTCTTTTGAAATTGTTTTTTCATTTTGACTCAGACATATGGAATGGTTGAAGACTAACTAGAAGTTCAACAGATACAATTTCAGTGTCTTTGGCCCTTGGAATTTTTCTGAATGAATAAACAGAGACTAACTCTTAGGAATGATCTACTGACTGCTTAAAAAAAACCCCAAACAAACCCACAAACTAAACCAAACGCTTTAAGGCTTGCTCTTAACAGTTGAACATAGTACTGAACTTGCCAGCAAAACATGCAGGATCTAGCACAGCCTTGCTTCGTTTAAGAAAACTTTCATTTCTTTGCTTACTCTGAATAAGGATTTCAGTTTTGAGCCATATTCT